AACGGCCTGCTAGTGACAAGTCAGTAAAATGTCTGTACATTTGTCTTGTCTGTCTAAATAGAGGCAATATTTTATTCGACCTATGCACATGCTGTTTGGAGTAAAAAAAACGTAGGATGGAAAAAACAGGTAGAAATATGAGAATAAACAAAAGCAGAGAAATTGGCCCTCATTTTCTTTGTTTTTCACGGTTCATTGTTGCTCACTCTGGGTGGTACCTAATTAAATTGTCACACTGCAAATGTCCTCAAACCACATAGATATTCAGAGAGAAAAACAAAAACAAGCACAAAATTATTTGAAAGACAGATGCTTGTGTCTGCTAGTGTTTGCCTCGAATTTTTAACTGTCTTTGTCACTTTTGCTTGGCTATGCTGATTGCTAGCATGTATGCACCAAAAAAAAAACAAAACAAAACGACAAAAAAAGCAAAAAACAAAGGAAACGCACAGAGAATAACAAACATGGCTTACAAGAGCTTTCTGGTTTTCTTTTACCACAAGCCTAAAAACAATTGTCTTGTTAGAGAATAACTAGTTCGGAGAGTGAATAAGAACAGCAGTAGAGTTGAGTTTGAGCAGCTTTTGCAGAATAGTGTGGACTTGCACACTCATAATTTATATTATGAGAGTATATTTGTGTAGTGCAAGCTTGTCCTAAGCTTGTAAGTCAGAACAAGCTTAATAAGGTGGATAAACCACTACTTTTTTATTGTTTATAAAAAATAACCATGTGGCTTTTCTGTGGAGTTTTCTTCAACCACTTGGGGGTTCTTTAGCAGAAAGTGAATTATTGGAAGTCAAAATTGGAAATCATGGAAGAAAGTACTGATTTTCATTTAGAGCAAATACGACGGAGAAATATTTTCAAACTTGTACCCCCTGATCAAGAAAACAACAGGAAGAAGTTCATATGATGCAGCTTTTAAGTTGAAGGCAGTACAGGTCGATAGCCGCTGCACATAAGCTTGCCGTGAACAAATCCATGGTTCGGTGTTGGAGATGCAGGGCTGTGTCCTTAATAGCAGATGTATTCAGATGTATTCCTGTGGAAAGCCAAGAGCGGCAGAGATACCAACGGCTTATAGTCGGGCGTGGCTTAAATATGTACGTTTCCGGTTTTAAAAAAAAACTTTGTTGGTTCGGCTTATAGTGAGGTGCACTCTGTAGCTCGGAAAATATGATATACTTAATAGTAAAAGAACCTTTTACAAAAATTCAGTTGCATTCCTCACTACATTACCGATATTTATAAAAGCGTTGAATGTCCATGCATACTAAGAAAAACAAACACTTTTAGTAAACCAAACAAAATACAGAATTATTTTTTATCAGTATGAATTATGTTTATGATAAACACGTGGCTTATTTTGCATTTTATGAAGGCACTTTGGGATTTGGCATCTCAGAAACCTTTATCCAAACTGAGTGCGTGTGTATTGTTGGTCATTTACTCAACCCAAACATGACTAATTCCAGGATTTAATGTAATAATTGTATTTTGTTGTTTTCACTATGCTGCTTGTGGGGCCATCAGATTTAAAAATTATAAGAAGCATTTTATCTCTCAGTTCTCTTCCAGCTCTCTGGCTGATGGTAGAGAAAGTCTTTCCAATAAGCCAGAATACCTACAGTGAGCCAGAAAGATTTACTGATTTATTTAGACATAACAGCTGCTCCTCCGCTCTTCCAAACGTGTGTGTGCAGGACAACACAAACACACACACGCAGTTGTTTATCTTGCACATGCCCCTGGGCAGTGAGTCAGTGCTTTTAATGTAGTTTAATCATATCTACCTAATTCTCGTCAGGCGCTTCAAATTTTCTGCCGGCATTCTGGCACACATGTACAAATATATTACAGAAAAGTAAACAGATGTTTTTTGTCTGTGTCTCTTATTTCTGAATCCTCCTTTTTCATGTGTTATTGACCAACTCGTGCAAGGATCAATGCACCTATAGTGTCAATACAAAAAACATAAAAAATATCTTGGTCTTATCTTCAACTAATATAAACTGAAATGGAAAAGAAAGCATGCCTGATGGCAAATACTGTTTGTGGAGTCTATGAATAATAAAACTAATCTTATGGTCAAGTTATCCTTAAAGGCATTCAAATCCCTTCAGCGGTGGCTGAACTGAGCTATATTTGCACATAGAAGATACATTTTTGCTTTCACTGATGTGTTTCATTGTCTTAGGATATTACTTCAAGTGCAAAATCTCCTTGAAATAGTATTACTCAAGCAGCATATTACTCCGTATGTCACCCCCAAAAAAAGTTTTAAGAGAAATTGGAATTTTTTTTATAAGCATTTTTTACAAGATCTGAAATTTTGCCCCCCAGTTACAGCCACCTTTACTCCAATGTCTGTAAATATAATCCAGAGAGTCAATAGCCCAAAGAAGTAACCTAATTACTAAATGGAGCCCACCTACGTTTAACTGAATCTGGGCACAAATACAGCAGTACAGTGAACAACTCAGAGTTTCTTAAAAAAACGTTTGTGAGCAAACCACATCATTAACAAGATGGTGATACAATTTTAGAGGTACTTAAAGCTTAGATTGCAAAACAACATCCCAGGTTTTGAACATCTCACAGAGAGACTATTAATCTATCTTTCAAAGGAACTAGTGTGACACAGTGCAAATCTATCAAGACAGAGAAACCTGATAGAGCAGGCAGAGAGAACAATGACCTCAGACGAAGACAAAAAACCCAAAACTACCAGGTTTTAGTCTTAGTGAAAGTCATGTTGGGTGTGATTGTGCTGTTGATAATAACCTTGGATCCATCCACGCTGATAATGCGATAGCTGTTGCGTGTGCTGTCGTAAAAATAAGAGACAGTGAATTTTCCCACAGATCTTCAAGTCATTTAACCGAACAGTAGCAATGAAAAAAACATTGTTGTATGAAAGACCATAAGAAGTCAAGTTCCGACAAGAAAACTAAATCTGCACAACACCCCGAATTCAACTTACACGGCTGCGGCAGCATGATGCAGTGTAATGTTAGACCTTTAAAAAAAGTGTCACAATGTGTCATTTTACAATAATAAAAATAGTTCAGTAGTAGTATTCACTTAAATTTTGAAGATGTACACTGAATATTTAAGAAATGCACTTAACATTTGATATTTCTAAAGATTATTTTGTTTTTTCCTACTTATATTTTAGCTTGTATTGAGTTTACTTAAACCGACAAACACCCTCTTACCATAAATAAGTTATCTCATCAGAAAAATAAAAAGGCATGGCTAAGGCTTCTCATTGAAAATGTTTCCCTCTGTGGAGAGGAAGGAAAAGAAATGTAACAGGAAAGTCAGTTCAAAGGAGTTAAAAATACAGTGAGAAGAAAAATAACCTGTGCAGAAAATCCACATGCATGAAATTCTAAAATCTTTTTCTGTTCCTACCTTCATATCGGTGTAATTATTCTGTTAACGTGCATTTGAAAGCAAAATTACTTTTATGTTCCAAATGACAAACATCAAAGTTTATTACGTTACAAATAATAAACAGTTATCTTCTTAATTGTTTTATTTGGGATTCAAACTACATGAATAAAGCCTGAAAAGTAGCTTTAAGGTTCTAACTTTGTGGAAACCACAGAGTGAAAATGGGAGCATATACCAACCAATTTTAAACCGAGTATTAACAAGTACTTTGGCTCCAGACGTGGAGACAAAATTTAAAGTGAAATTCTGCAGACCCCTCTCAGTACTTAATCTACATATGTTTATTAGGTCTGAGTTAAAAAGTGTCAGCACAAAATGGAGAGAGGAGAAGTTGACCCTCCCAACCTGAGAGGGAGTCGCTTAGGTTTATTGACTATAAGATGAAGTGGGAAGATGGGATTATGAATTGAGATTGACATGAAGAGCAAAGAGATCAGCTGCATCTGCTGCATAAGTTTGGTGGTGTATGACTCGGTGATCCCCATATGTCGCTCTGATCTGACAAATATGCTAAACCTACTGCTGACAACAGGTTGAAGATAGCTAATAACAGAACCATACTTGGTATGCAGAATGCATCTGTGCAGCCGACATGAGGATTTTTCATACAGCTTTGACAGATATTATTGAGATCTTTGGAAAATGCCCCCCAGACATTTTATGTACCTTGTGCATGTGATTCTGTGATCCTTGTTGCATTCTCTGGAAACTCACACAGACTTATCTGACTGGATAAAGTTCTACAATGTGAAGTTATTTGTAGTCAGTCCACAGTGGCTTATTTATCAGGAGCTCTGGTCTGATAGTGTTGAATGAACTATAATTTGAAAAGTTGACTAGTTTAATGTCTTTAGAGTTAAAGTCACTCGTTGTTTTTAGTGTTTGCTACACTATTCTCTGTGTGTTTTTGCAGTTTTTGTTCACTTTGGTTTATTTTATAAATCTGTATTTTCTTGGCCTTATTTTTTTCCCCTCCCTTTTTTGTTTTATCTGTTTCCTTCAGGGACAAACATTTAAACATATCCAGGACATAGTGGTGTCTCTGCTGCGGATAATCAACCGAACCGTGATCACAATGGGCCGAGAGCACGCACTGATTGTAAGTACATACCACCATCCTTTTCTCCTGAGATATAAGGTTCCTACACAGTCTGGGAGAAACTGGAAAAGGTGGAACTTCAAAAAAGAAAAACAAAGAGTGCAAAAAATCTCTATATTGCTCCATAACCATTGTCTAAATATGTTGTCCATCCATCTGTTTATCCATCGGTTTTATGTTAAAAGCCTGCACTCTCTGTCATGTCTTTATTATAAACGTTATCATAGTTTAACAAATAAAGTCAGAACTCTAGACATTTTAGACTAGAAAAGTGTAGAATACTGATATTCATGGTATGATGTAGATTGGCTCTACATATATTAATGAAGGACGGCTTCTTATTGTTTTGTGTGAATGTTTACCTTAAAAAAAATACTTTCAACTATTTGAGGTGTAAGATTCATGGTCTTTCTGAAACACAAAGCATGGTCACAGCATCTTCTGTTCAAAATACACGTTTTATTGGACATACAAGTGGAAGATCAGATGAAAGGGCTTTGCTGCAGCTCACGCACTGAAGTTACAGATTATAAAATGACAGGGCGTTCTGGATATAGATTGGATAATTAGTAAGTGTGCTGTCATCCAGGATTCTAATTGGTGGCAACTTGTCAGCCAGAGGATGTTGAAGTAGGCTTTGTATGATTAGTGATTATGCCCTCAATGGCTGGGGAGCAAGCATGGTACAAATTATGTGTAAGACAAAAAGTAGCCCTGTTTTTACATTCATGAACAACAACGTAGAGCTGTTGAGGATTTTACTACTTTATGTATTTCTTCCTTGGTAGATTGTGATTCTGTTGTCATATTACTAAGTGTGTCATAAACTCTCAAAAAAAAAAAAAACTCTAAATTTAACATGGAAAGTTTAAACACCTAATTTTTTTTTTATATAAATTTTGGAAAACATTTCAATGCATAAACAGATAATCCTTTTGTGCAATGTAAGCAATTCAGGAATATTCAAACCTCAACTTTTAGTTTGCCTCTTAATCTTAAACCAATGGCAGCAAATTGGCTTCAATTGAATAAATAATGATACAGTTTTACATTGTTAATGCTGGCTAGGTTTTAAAAGCAAAGTGATTGGTGGTGTGGATCAGAAGTGGAATAAATATGGACTTTATGCAGGCATATGTGGCAAAGTTATTTCTAGTGATTCAGTTGGTTTATTGGAGGTGTAAGTCAGTGCTCATGAACCTGTTTCTGTGCAAGGATTTGTATGCACAGTTTGTGAAACTCCTTGGAAAAGAAATTGAGTTTGAGCAGAACAAATTTCCATTTTGGATGAAAAATAAGAGAGAGAGAATAAATCACTCTGTCAGCCAGTGTTGACAGATTTTTTTTTTTAATTATCTGACACACTTGTCAGTCTTTCAACAACTGCCTATCACATTGTCTCTTAATATATTCTGAGTGCATTTTCCATTATGCTGTTGATCCGTTGAGCAAGCGCTCCGTTTCCAGATGGGTCGTCGGCTCGTGTTCGACGACACGCCTCTAGTAATTCAAGTGTTGCTACATTCACATTCCAGAACTTCCAAATGAATATTCCAGGCGGTTTAATTCCTGGGATTAACATCAAGTCTTTCCCTTATTGCTGTGACAGCCCATTGATCTGTCCATCCGTTCAGTCGGCCAGGGAAGCCATTTGATATCAGAGGTCCCCAGTCTTTCTTAATTATTCTCTACAACTTTGGTTTAAAAACAGCATCCTTACTCTAATTTCAAGTTAGTTGAGAAATTATCCCATGAAGTCTTATTATTATTATCCCAAGCAGTCATCCTCTGGAGCTGAGGAAAAATCTCCGTGGCTATTATAATCTATTTTCCTTTCCATCTGTGTTTATTCATCTGCACTGTTACCATGAGATTCTGTCAGGCCTTAGGATGAGCAGCTGTGGAGGGACAAAAAATCAATTTACATGGAAACCTGTTGGAAAGAACATTTCAGTCGGAATCTGATAAAACTCTCTGCACATCCACATGAAAAAGTTGCTTTCCTCTGCAGCAAAATATTTTGGTTCATATATATATATATATATATATATATATAATCAATTCCCTTATGCACCTGCTGGCCAGAAAGGTGTTTGTGATTTCCATGACTGTTAGAGCCACCAGAAACACTTCTTGCGCAGTTTCTTAACACGTGCCTTGGTGCTTGGGCGGCTGGAGGACAATGGAGCTGGCAGGGGCTTGGTCTGAGTTGGGGCAGGCACATCATATTCACCCTCGAGGGCTTCAATCACCCGTTGGAAGCGTCCCTCCTGCTGTCGGAAATCATGCTCCACGCTGGAGGAGGGAGGCAGAGCAAGTGGGAAAGGAAAAAAGAAGAAAAAAGGTTTCATTTTGAGGAGTCAGTATATTCAAGCTGAATTTATTTCTCAGAAAATTACACTGCATTTAAACTGTGGAAAAAAAAAAAAAAGATTAACTGAGAGATATTAAGAGACGTAAAACAGCAAAGCAAGAAAGTCTTTGTGAGTTGAAAATATGGCGGCAAAATGCTGACAGAGCACCAAATAGGGTTGCAAATTGTATTTGAAATCATGTGGTGCCTTTAACGTAGGATGTATGCACCTTCTGCACACACCCATGCTTTCAAACAGGTCTTAACTCAGCACTCATTTCACGTCCAGGGTATTCTTCTGCACTTCATGCACCGTAGATCACAGACTGGTGAGGTGAGAGTGGGAGGAGAATGAAAAGGGGGACTGCAAAAGAGAAGAGGGGGACATTTGCACAATGGAAGAGCTTAAGGAAAGAGTAAGGGAGGAACTTCTTTGCTCTTCAGAAGTGTTCAAAGCAGACCCTCTTGGCCTTCTTTTTCTATGCTCTCATTCCCCCTCCCCTCTCTGGTCGCTCTCTTGCGCTCTCTTTTTCTGATGTGTCCGTTGCTGCAGGTCATAATGTAGTAGTCTTTGAGCTTCCAGCTTCATTTTGGCGACGGTGTTTGTGTGTGGGCGGCTGTGTGCTGAGCCGGATTAAAGGGGTGGAGCTGAATAGGGCTTGGCATCTGGAGTTAATGAGGCACATGATGAGGCAGAGAGAGCAGATACGACTAACCATCCTTCCCTCCTCCTATATCCGAATGCCACAACACAAATACCCACTGAGAAACACTCAGCATAAAGGCAGCGACGCGCTGCTCTACTGAACAGCATGTACAGTATACATCCCACAGCTAAGTAATGAGGAAAAGTGATGCTGTGAGATATTTAAAATAGATAATGTGGAGTAAATAAAATCAAAACCCACTGCATAATAAGTAACATAAAATAAATTGAGGATCATAAGTGCCAACAGAGATATGGACAAGTAAAAGCTCACCTAAAGAGAGTTTAGTGATCGAGTTAGGAAGGAGGAATATTTTAGTAGAAGTTAAAGCTCTACTGCCCACAGAGGAAGTGAGACGTCTTTATAAAAATTTATATCTACAATATCCAAACTGCCAATATACACGGATACTATTCATGGATAATTTACCATACAAAATACAAGAAGTGCATCACCAGACCAACATTTAGTTGGCCACACTATATCATGAGTCATTTTGCTGTTTACAATTTAAACCATAAATTCTTATGCAGTACAAAACCCTCTAGAAACCCACTGTGTTCTAGAAATACTGTACAGAAATAGTAAACTGGATGAAACACATCAAGATCTGCCAGTTCCTTTGCTGCCACATATGTTTGCATCAAAGGAACTGACAAATCAGGCTAATTGTAACATTACTACATTTGCTTGTTTTGACTAAAAAACTCTCTAATCTCTTTTAAAATGAGGAGTGTGTCATGCTTTCATTTGACAAAGGAAAAAGAGGAAAACTTTTAGAGCTTTATTATTACAATACTCCTTTAATTAGCATTTCTTTTTTTACAAATCATCAAACTCCTTTGACAGTTTGTCCTTTTACTTAGTCCCAACAACTTTAAAACTTTATTAATGATAAATTTCAACATTTAGAGAAGTAAAGTGTTATGCCAGAGCTGATTTTGTGTGACTTCATAGCGATTTTAACCAAACAGGGATGCAAAGGAGAGAGTTTGAGCATGACACAACAAAAAATCATGTCATAATCCATTTTTATTTTTATTTCTCTTAAATAATATCCAACAAGCTGAATAGAGAATCCACATCATTCCATCACACATTAAGGAGATAAATACATGTAGCTTTTTCTCCACTGACTCTGGCCCCAGTAACTACATATAAGCAAATAAAGTCATTGGTTGCACTTAATTTATGAGCTAATCATAAATTAGCCTGACTATTGCCTCAATGTGCTACTCCACTTGAAAAATAAATCTTGCCTACTCCACATTCTGGACTTTCTCCCCTTGACTCAGACTGTTTTTGGATTTGTGACCAGGCCAATCAGCAAACAGGAGGAGAAGTTGTGAGACTGCCTCAGGAACTTCAGCAGGAATTAATTTGATTTGACCATCCCTGACCACTTCAGGGGTGCCACTCTGCTTAAGCTAAACATAAAAAGGGTTGGAGTACAATAGGGCCTTGTTTTAACGCGTCTTCCTTCTTTATAGTCGTACTTATTAAATTAGAATATGCCTTTCATCAAGGCTTGCTTGTCAGTTTTAGAGAACATTTAGAAAAATAATCCTTAAACAGGTATTAAACATAATCTTCATTAGCTTATATTGGTGTATTGACAAGTTTTTTTTATTGTTCTAATGTAATACTCTAATCTTAAATGTCATGATGCTTGAGAAATACTGGAAAAATCTGAAATATTTAGCAGTTCAGTTGAAGTAAGGGTTAATGGGTTTGTGCTTCGGGTGTATAGATATCATACATAATTTATGTCTCCGCAGTACTTCACTGCTGAAGGAGAAGAAAGTGACAGTAAAAATTTGATTGGTTGGTTTGCAGAAGAGCTTGTATATATTACATGTGTATTTATGTTTCGAAAGCTATGGATGAGATTGATCGTTTCAATTTTTTTCTCATAGCATAAAGATTCATACGAACTGACGGCTGTAAATGATCTCCTTTAGTCCATGTCAAAACCCTACTTTTGCCCAATGCAAATCATATGGATGGATGCCCCAGACTCTAGTTATTTTCTGCTTATAGGTGTATTCTGCTATGTACTTTCCTTTTTGCTCTGAATTTCCTAGCTTTAATAAAGCCGCTACTACCTTCTCAATGAAATTGCACATTTCACATTTTTTAAAATAAGAAAGTATGTTTCTTTCACTGAAAAAACCCCCCCAAAAAACACATTAATAATAATGAATACCGAGGAAAAAATAGTCATTGGGTATATGGCAGCATTTTTCGTATGTCTTTAACTAAAGTGCCTTGTTGTCTCTTTCTTGAATTGATCGGCGTTTACGTACTTCAAATGTGTGCGTCTAAAAGCGAAGTGGAACTGAAGAAAAAATTAAACACATTAAAAGATATTTGAACTCACCTGCTTAATATTACTTACATTCTATACTTAGTGGACGTTTTGAGACAGACCAATCAGCTAAGCAGATATAACAATAACCAAATTTGGTTGTGTTTTTAAGCAGTAATTTCTTATGTCATATTTATTTATTTTTTCAATGTTTTCTTAAGTGGACTTTGCGCTCAGTGCATTTAACAGTTCCCTAAAAACTGTTTTCCCGACCTTTTACGCTGTTTTATCAAATTTATTACCATTTCACTGTCTGTGAAAATGCCTCTGGAAGTTGTGATTAAATTTGCTTACAGAAGCTTTTTGTGTGTTTTCCATTTAAGTGAAATGTGTCGTTTAAAGTGCAGTCACATCCTGATTTATATTCAAAAGATGTTGGTTAGTCTTTCTGATACTTGAATGTTCTGTCTTGGTTGAGGGAATTAAGCCAGCAAAATACACTTTCATATTTGAGGAAAAAAGAAACCTAAACTGTAGCTGTCTTGGAGAAGTTCATGGTTTCAATTCAATCTAATCCTCATTAAATAATTATTTTATCAGCAAGTAATTCATTTACAAATTATCCAAGATCATGTGTGTTTTATTTAATGTAGCTCGGATTTCTAATTGCATATCCATATTATATAAACATACTTATGCTGTAAGTCCTGAAGGGAATCCAGGCTTGCAAGTAAATTGTTGTTTTGATTGCAAACTAGCAAAATACACTTATAAATACAGGTGCATTTGTCTCAAGCCTGCTGTGATTCCGTAAATTTATATTGGTGTCAAGAATGCCCCAAAGATGAACAGATGGAATAATGTTCATTATAAAAATATGTGAATGAAATGCAAGATTTGATGGAGGTGAACAGAGAACAAAGCACAGAAGATGTTAATGAGCAGCTTCAGAGATTACATAGAACAATCACATTACTTCAGTAGTTGAGTTACATATTTCATGGGTGTAGATGGAAAGATGCAGCTTTTATATCCCTCCATATTTTTTCTTTATCCACAAAACCCATTTTCCTGGATAAAATATTTTCCTCTAATACACAGCTTGCATTCATTGAGGATCACTTTAGTGAAGTCATGACTTTCTTCTTCCTTGTATCTGAAAATTAGAACTTAATTAGTCATATGAATGCACTGAGACACTGGAGAGAAATGAGAAGTGAAGAATTAAAAAGCTAAGATAAAAGCTTTCAGGTAATTTTTAGTTATCTGTCCTTGGGATATAATATAAGTTCAGTTCATTGATTTGTATTGGTTACCTGTAAATGATGCAGGCTGTCTTCTGGCAGGTGGGGCAGTTGTTTATGTCTTGGCCAGTTCTGTATGAGCTGCGACTGCAGAAACAACACATGTCAACAAACATAAACACATGGAAAAAGAACCATGAAGCATGCTGTGTTTGACAATGGTAAAACAAACAGTTTTTCCTGCAGTGTTTTCCTATTTAAGTTTAGACTATAGTGTCTAACGGCGTCTTGAGTATTTTCGAGTGATGTCACATTTGTTAATTTGGTTGGCCACTGGTGCCCATAGCGTAACTTATAAAAATATAATGCTGCACTTCTTTATGCTGTCTTTTAATGCAATGCAGATGAAAAAAATGGTGATGGTGGCATGAAGTAGGTTATTTCATTAATTTATCACTATTAAAAGTTACATTGTCAAGACTGCTCATGTTCTAGATCTTATTACTTCCTATCATAAATGTTTAATGCTTAGTTATTGCCAATATAATTTGAATTATTAAATAACTGAAAACAATGTGATGGTAGGTCTAGACACTTGTAATTATGTTTGGAGAATATCAGTAAATCTTGTCTCAAGATAAACAAATGACACAAGCATAAAATGCAGATGTTAATTTATTTTTGTTTTTAAAGTTGTTAGATCTATTTAAAAATACAAAATCAAATAATTAAACCTAAAAAAAATATTTAAATATTATCACACAAACACACTGTGTTACCAAGTGTACACAAGGACACAGATGTTGTTAAGCTGATGATCAGTGCCATGTAATTAAAAGACTTTGTTTTGCTGAGATGCTTTGGTTGGCCTTTGGTTGAACTGATTAGATGAAAGAGTAACTGATTTATTTTGATAAAATTGACATTTCAATTACAGTTCTGTTGCAAGAAACAGTATCACTGGCATCATTTTTCTCCTAACAACCTTTTATCAAAGACAACTGCACTGAAGTATTTGCTTTAGGAAAGAAAATAGTACATGAAGCAGAGCACAGCAGTAACCTTTAAGCTCAAATGACGCTTTTATCACAGCAGTCCACTTGCAGTGCTGTCATTGCTGGTGCTGCAACAGATAGACACAGACCCTCCAACATGGTGGTTCTGCTCGGTTGTTCATGTCTATCTGACACTCAATTCCCTCCCTTTGTGTCCTACTGGCTCCCATCGTTCTGTCTCAGTCTGCCTGCTAATCTCAAACTTAACCAAACACACACACACACACACACACACAGACACACCAAAGTGCACTGATTCATGATATTAGACAGGGTAAGACAGCTTAAACACTAGGTTTAGGAGTCTTATAGAGCAGCTTGATCATTAATTGCAGGGTAATCTTATAAGGATTAGTCTTGGTAATAACCCATCTGTTAACCAGAAGGACATGCAATAAAAATGGCCTAAGTACATGTGAAGGTGAAGATGTAGCCATTTCAGCAGTTGATGATTTGCAAAGAAGATTGATCAGGACCAAATGTCTATTTACGTAGAGGAGTGATCTGCCAAAGTAGAGACTGATTTGACCTTAAGTTCCCTTAAGGTCAAAGATGCATTTTAAAAATGCATCTTTCCTCAAGGTAAATTTGCTTCTTTTTAAAACCACTGTGCTAAGATTGTACTATGCAAATGACACACAGGTGAACATAGCTGAACAATTCATTGAACACAGAATTTGCTCAATGAATGTACATAATTCAGTGTCTAAATTTGATCTTTCTATAGAAGTGGTATCCAATAGTAACACAATAACTTCTCATTGTAACCCAAGGTAGATGGTAAAGAGGCTGAATTGATTAGAAGTAAAGTTATTCACAGCTTTGAGACAGAGATGTGCTTTACATGCGGAACTGTGAAAATGCAGATGAGGAAAGAACTGACAATATGAATGAAGTGGAGTGAAATGTTGAGGTGGAAGATAAACAAATTGCATGAAGCAATTTGAACAGTAGGAATCAAGAATTTGCAGATAAACAGGAAGGGATTATTGTGCTTTGCTGGAGAATCATTGTTGAGCTGTGGCTGCTGCTCTAAATGGTGAATAAAATGAAAGAACAAGGGAAAAGGATTCTAATATTAACTAAAGGTAAATAAGTAAGTGACTCTGTGAGATTGATTCAGACATTTAGCTTGTGCATGTGCATACACATACATACACAGATTGACTATTCTCTACAGACCTAAAATTTTAAAAGCTATTCCAAAACCTTGAAAGCCTGACGGTATAAGTTGCCATAAAAAACTTAAATATACTCTCTTCTCAATCTTTTGCTCTCCCTTGACAATATATGTGCCTCCGATATTTACTCTTTTATCACTCTACCCCACTCCTGCTTGAGCACCCACTCTTGCAGTGAATTCCTTTCATTTTTCTTTTTCTCTATTATTGACTCCATCTCTTCCTTTCCCCTCTTTTTTATTGCCCAATCTTTATGCATTTTTGCCCTCCATTTCCTTTTGCTCTTTTTAAGTTTTTTTAAATTTATTTTTCTTATCTCTCCCTTCTCCTTGCTGTGTACTTTTAGAGCCTCATTGCACTCACCCTTCGCTTAAAGCTTTGCTCTTCTCCAGGTCTTGAATCACATTGAGAAGCACCTTAATCTTCTCCTGATTGGACTGAAGGTTCTCCTCCACATTTTGTAGCTGTCTCTCCAGCCCAGGTGGCACATTCACTGCCTGTCCATCTATAAGTCCTCCTGGTGCCCCATTACATTGTGCTTTCATATGAATCTGACAAGGCAGAGTGTTGTCATCAAATGATTTGCTCTTCTGCTTTGTGTCCTTGAATTTTATACGCCCTGTGGATTGCTTGGGTGACTTTGTGGCCTCTTGGTTTTTGGTGTGTGCTGCAGGTGTGGTTGGTTTAGAATGAGTCACTTTAGGAGAGTGTTTTGGTGGGAGAGGTGGGTTGCTGCTGGATTTTGAGTCACTGAGAGGGGAAGGCGTTTGAGACTTAGAAATGTTGCAGACTGATTCATCTGTTTTCTGGATTTGACCCTGATTGTGATTTTGTTTGTCTGTTGGTTGTTTTTGGTTTGCCTCTGCATTTTGTGTGAGAGCTGACGTTCCGTCTGTGTTGGAGTGTGTGTGTGTTTCTGATGTTTGTGTGGCTGAGTCCTTATAACAGGTAAAGTCTGCTGAATGTGGCCTTGTCTGCAGCTTTGAGTCTTTTGTTTGGTTATGAGTATGTGCCGTGTGGTTGAACTGTGAACTGTGTGTTTTTGGCATGGTGTGGGACAACTGGCATATTTGAGCTGTCTTTGCTGATGTGGGCTGAAGTGGGTTGGCTCTGTCTGTGCTTTTGGAGCAAGACTGAGAACTCAGCGCAGCAGAGGCTTTTCTTGACTGGGTGGGGGCTACAGATGTTTTCCGTGGTGGATTAGGTAAAGTTTGACTTGCTGTTATTTGATTGACTGCTCTCCTGCGACATGCACCTGTGCACTGCGTAATCTGCGACCGTCTCCTCCCACACGTCACACATAGACGTTGTGGCGAGGTTGCCATTGTTCGACAGGGCCGAGGTGTGGTCGCATGTGCAGCTGAACAAACGCTTGCTGTCTTTAACACCGAGCGATGGCCTTCCCCTCGCAGAGATTGCACCCTTCTCTTTTCCTGTGCAGGCTCCTTGCTTTCTGTAGATTCACTGCAAACGCCTCCCACCAAATCTGAAGCTACTACACTCCCATTTATATACCGAGTTGTCCTTTTATCTTTTTTGTCCTTCGGGTTTGTTTGTATAGTCCTGATCTGGCAATAAACTCCACTGCCCGACCCTTGTGACCCCATGTCGTCCTGCGTAAGGCTGTTGATTTCGTTCTGAGACGTCTCTTTGGACAACGGCAGGTTCTTGCTGTCACTTCTGATAGCTCCTCCTGTGTCCGCTGCCAGTGATTGTTCTGTCGCCATGGTGAGGGACTGATGCGTTGTGGTCTGTTGGCTGCAGTGTCGTTTGATAGAGGGTAGAGTCCGCAGTCTGGGAGATGTCTGCACCCCAATGCTGCAAAATGGACCCCATCGCCCCCCAGCCAGAGGAACTCCCAGCGCAGGCACCGGATTAGTTGGATCTGCCACTCTCCTGCCCATGCTCCTCTGCAGGTTGGCTCAGCCCCCGGAGGAGCTGAAAGGGATGGAGGCAAGCGGCGACATCAGCCAGCCTCTGCAAGGTTATATCCAACAGAAAGGAAAAAGGTTCCAGCTTTTGTTTACCAAAATAAATCCGAGTGTTGCAGAGGCAGATGAAAAGAGCTTTGTATAGACGTTGTTGACAGGAATTCAATATCCAATAAACTCTGGGGATTCTTTCATTATTGATCTCCTTCGAAGTTTAGTCAACTCTGAGTGGACATCTCTGTCAGAGTATTTCTCACTTTCTGACCAATGGCCTGCAGGTGATGTCTTCTTTGGGCATTCCTGATTAGTTCTAAACAGAAAAGAAAGAGAGAAAGGAAATAAATGAGCAAAATAAAATAAAAGACAGAGGTAATAAATGGTAAGACTGGAAAGAAGATATAGACATTAGGCACATTAAGCACCTTATAAAAGCTTCAACTACGACTGACTGCTCCCACTGACCAGATCAATAGAAGTCTATTAAGTTCTTATAACCAAGGAGGTGAGTTGGATTTATAGTGTTAAATTTTTATATTTAATTTGAGAAAACGTGTAGATTTCCTTGAAATACTTCAAAAGTTTGAGTGCATTTCTGGTGGTTACACACATACTTGATTTGTTCATAGATGTTGGTGCAGTATTTTATCACATTGTTAGTTGTGTCCTGCTTGCAATATACAACATCAAATATGGATTAGTAAATAAGAGATTCACAATCACCCCCTGGCTGTGTTACTCCCTATGTAAATTTATTTGTGCTTTTTGGTGTTCATGACTTTATGGCAATAATTGAGTATGTGCATATTTTTCTTAATCCTTGTCTCTAACAAAGCAAATTACAAAGTGGAGTCTTTTAATCAATTATTAATTAAATTACAAAGATAAAGAGAAATAGGGAATAGAGCTTCAATATTTATTTTTATGGCTGAAGTTGTAGCTCTAAATATGTATGTGGTGCTTATGGAAAAAATCGGTAACCGGAAATAGTCAATGATATGGAACTGTCTGTTTAGGAACCCCCAAAATGTGCTGGTGTTGATATAGGTTTCAGTCTTATATAGGTTTCCTTTGCCTTTCTGATACAAATAAAACAAAGTATTGAGAGAAAATTAATTTATCTTTAGAGTAGTCAGTACTTATCGCAGCATCACACCCACTAAGGTATAGATTCAAGTCACCATAACCATCAACTGAAGTTCATAAACAGTGGTCAATGTTTCCGGATCCTCTTTCTCACAATAGTATGGTCAGTTTAAATCTAAAAAGTTTTACTTTATTCAGGCCGTAAAAGCAAACATTCAAACTCTATTTGTGTTTGTGCCATCCATTCATCCATTATCTATATCTACTTATCCCCTCTGAGTTGAAGGACAGCTGGTGCCTATCCCACAGACAATTGAGATAACACACATAGGCACCAGTAGAACATTCAAACTCCACACAGAAAGACCCCAGGCCACTATTTGAACTCAGGACCTTTTATGTCCAAAAGGCAACAATGCAGCCAGTTGCCCAACTGTGCAGGAACATTGATTATTTAAAAAATGCATTTTTGCAGTCTTCAGAAAGGTAACTCAGATTTGTGTGGGGCCACATTGTATAATAGAACTGAAGAAAATATATTGGTTTTATTACCATAAACTAATTGAGAAAACAAATGGAGACCATTTGACTGTCCATATTGAATCGGTTCTGTATTTAAGAGCATTGGATAGTGATTGAAACCTAATTGTTTCAAGAGCTTTCCTTTGGGTTAATTGAATCATGGTGTAAGGCAAATTTAGCTCTTAGTATAATTGGCAATTTAGAACATTAGTATTCTGACTCTGTATAAAATAAAATCCTTATTACATTTAAAATGTATTCAAATTTATGATAGAAAACAAATCCCCTTTGTTGTGCGTCTCTTCTGATCATTGCATAACAAAAGTCACCAACAATTGCAATTTTGTACTAACATTTTTTTCTATTACTATTTACTTAGGATCCAGATGATTTATTTTCTGATAGACAAAATGGCCACATTGACTCATTTTGTTCAGCATTAAAATCTCTAGGACTGAGGATAGAAGTGCTTTCTTAAATGTTCTCAAAGTCTAAGTTTGCGGAGAAAATGAGGACAGGATTGAAGAAGGATCTTTTGCACAGTACCTGGCGCTATGCACACATTTGTAAACAACAAGAAAGAAGATCAACCAAGAGAGAGAAAGAACATCAGACAAGTCATTGTTGAGTCACAAGTTTTAAAAGGACTTTCTTAGTTCAGAAAAAATATTCTCTTTTTGAGAAGATTGCTCTTGAAGAGGAGCTACATACAGACTTAAATATTTAGTTGGTCTATTTCACTTGCTAAGTAAATATTAAGTTTGGAATTGTTACATTTATAAATGTATGGTCGATATGGTAAAGATGTCACTTTGGAGAGTAAACTCTCTATTTTTTTTCCCCGCTCTTGTGACAAGCTAAATTACCCAAATCATTCCAGTTATTTTTGACTATGCAGCTGTACAACAGTAAACCATAGTTATCCAGACTGACTGGCTCTTAGTACTTTTAAGATGTTTTTTTCCACCAATGCTAGTATTTTCATGAAGACAAGAGTTGCTTTGACACAACATTACAACTTAACAATAATATGCAGAAGAGATTTGTTGATTGTTCCTTAAACTGGGAAGCTGTGTTGTTAGAGGAAATGGAACATTAATAGCTGGTATTTTATTATTTTAATCAAAGTGCTGGACGATAAAGTAATAAAAACACATCAACAGTATTTTCCAAAATTATGAGCACAATTTTAAGAGATTGGGAAGAACAGAAGGATCAGAAGAGATGAAGAGTGGTGGGAACAGACAGATGGAAACATATGATGTGAGCTAAAGAAGAGAAGGGACATTTTGTCCAGCTTCAAAAGCAACACTCACAGCAGTAGAAACTTAGAGGCATTGTTTGATTATTTATATATTAACCTCCCTCAGACATTATTATAAAGTTGAGGGAGAGCTCGAACTACTTATTTGTTTGAAGTCATTTGAAATTCAGGATTGCAAATCAGTGGTGTGGAGTCTTAGTCTTACTGCAGATAACTTGAAAATGATACAGTGGGTTCGACCATCAGTGTTTCAGTATCCTAACAATATCTCAAACAGGTAATGCTTGATGTTAAATTTGCAGGCGCATTCTGTGAAATAAGAAAATAGCTTTTTTTATGCAATATTGTGAAGCATTGCCCCAGAGATGCTCAGGTTATAGAGCTAATAAAGAAGCAGTATAATGTTTTTAAACTAAAGACAAAAATTGAGGCTATTTCAGAGGCATTATGTAATTATACATACAGTATAATACATAACGGATGTAAATCTGTTTAGGTTTTGCAATAAGAATAAGAAATCTCGGACAAAATGTTTTTCACGTATCATGGTGTTTTGTTTTTTTTACATTCTGTTCAATTAAAGTCAAAAGTATTAAAACAGATTTAACCTTTAAATTATTAAAAAGTTAGTAAAATCATAAAACCTCATACAAAAAGCAAAAAAAAAAAAAACAAAAGAGAGAAAATAGGAAACATGGAAACCAGGTCATTCATTTTAAATATCTAAAATTTAAATTCAATGTACACTGTTTAATTTATTTTGTAAATAAGACAAAGCAATTTTTTATTCATTGCATTTCAGTTACTGCATTACCTTAAAGTTAAATATTTTCTCTGACATTATTGAGAAAAATAAGCAAACTTTGTCGAACAAATAACCTCAAGAAGATTTTGAGGTCTTACAGTCATTACAAATATTTTGTTATTAATTGACAACATCTAACTGTCACTGACTGCAATGAGATCCCTTGGAAGCTCTTATGTATTCAGAATAAGGGTCATGCGCGCATCCTTCCATACCAAAGCCTCATTATGATTTCTAGAGACTCATTTGAAAGCCTGATGTCTTCATGCTGTTGAACAGAATGACAATTACCACTTTATTTTTCTTTTTTTTTTGCTGCAAGTGAAACAAATGTCAGATTCTTTAGGCCTTCAGTTTTCATTCAAGAGTGCAATATTAAATATTAAAACTGAATTAATACACTTCATTGTGAATGCTTACATACCCCAGGGTATGTAAGCACACAGGGAGCAGTGTAAGTTTAGATTGTGCTCAGTTTGCATTGCTCTACATCCTGTACCTGCAGATTTTCAAGAGTTGGGCTAGTTGCATGTTACGCTGTGGTTATTGATTCACCATATCTTCCATAAAACTGATTAAAGCAAATCAAGGTGATCCCTCTCTAACAATAGACTGCAGAGGCCTTTGGCCAGAATACATCCCTGGAGAGTCACAGTGGAGCTTAAAAGGGTGCACAAGACAGGTTTTTGTGATTTACAAAAAGACCATATGCAATTGGCCTCCCTGACCAATTTCTGTTTAATAAATTTTATTGAAACTTCCAGTTTTTATGGCGTTTTCCCACATTTTTAAATAGTTTGTTTTTAAGAGTTTTATGGTATATATTTCTAATTTGTTTTCACTGATAACTTGGTACAATCATGTCATCTTAATTTTTTGTAACCTCACTATAAATTATGACTTGAGCTAAAGAATTATTAAAGGTTATTCAAATTCACCATAATTGATGTTATATGTGCAATAGATAATCTAATTCAACCAAAAGTATTTGTTTCATCTCTGTGTCCAGAATTATTATTATTTTTTGTCTATTTCAGTTTTTTTTGTGCAATTTCTCCAGAATGGATTTGCTTAAGTTATGATTTGATTGTACAATGAAGGTGAGAGCCTTTAAAACAGTCACATCACTTTTGAGATGTGCTGTGGAAAGATTTTTCTTATTTGTTTACTAAGCAATCCAAAACTACGGGGTGGATGAGATGAGGATTGAGATGTGATGCTTGCCAGTAACAATTTGCAGATGATAGCTATCCAGTGGGAAAAAGATGATGATTGCTAACAGAAGAAGGCTTTGTTTGCATACTTGAAAGAAAATGGACAGGTGTGTTAAAATATAGCTACAAGATTGGGTTTCATCTTGATTATATGAATGGGTGACAGTTTTGTAAGACGTAGCTTAACTCAGTCGAATGTAATTTCTTCACTGCTTTTTTTTGTTGCTTCAGCAGTTTCACATGAGAGCAGAGCCCTTTCTTCCACAAAGTTTCACCTCCCTTTTCCCTTTCTGTGTTTTCAGTCAGCCTTGTGTGTGCACCCGTTTGTTTATGTGCGTCTGTCTCAGATCTCACTCTTCACCTCCGACCTGAGGGCTGTCAGGCAGAAAGAGACACCATGTCCTCAGAAATCAGTGTCCGTT